CTCGTGCTGGTACCTTAACACTTTCAGCCGAATAAAGGTCAAACCCAGCAGCTTCTTCAGATCCTTGCTTCGGGAGAATTCCACCCATCCGTTGTACCAAAAGAGTGGTATCACGCGTAAGCATGTGGACAGGTCGTGTCAATAGAGGGGGGATTCTAATCGTCATAGGTGCAGGTTTGTCTGGACGTCTAGCATGGAATTCCTGAAGAAGTTCCTGACAATTGGTCAGGTTCGCTCATGATTCCCAAGAACGGCGATCGCCGTGAGGACTGTTCAATTTCTTCGACTTCCCATTCTTCCTCGCCATTTATGAGGTCAGGTACTACTGGTTCACGTCGCTGTGAGGAATACATGGGTTCTTTGAACAGACTGAGAAGGCTTTCATTGAAAACAGGGTGTTGTTTCCATTGATGTGGGAGTTCCAATTCGTAGGCGGAAGCGCTGACTTTGCGTTTGACCTTGAAGAGTCCATATTGCCTATCGTCGAGTTTCTTCATTGGCCTGTCTGTTCGGATGTTTATTCCTTCTAGCCAGACCTTATCCCCAATCTTGTACTCCGACCCGCTCTTTCTCTTTCGGTCGTAGAAGCGCTTCATAAATTTCTACGCTAGACTAATAGCCGTGCTAGTGTCCTCGCGTACTCAATCCATTCTATCAACAAATTGTTGGACGCTTTCACTTAGTCCCTCTCGTACCGGTTGGGTTCCTTCATAAGGGTGGTACCCTTTATTGACGAAGAATGGAGTATACCCGGTGGATGAATGGACTTTATTATTGTACGAAAAGGCTGCGAGTGGCAACCATTCGGCCCAATCGGCTTGTCGATAGTTAATGAATAATCGGAGATATTGTTCTATTTCACGATTGATACGTTCTGTTTGCCCATCAGTTTGAGGGTGATATGCGGTAGAGGGGTTGGCTTCGATTCCAAGTGATCAATATAGTTCGGAGATGAACTTGTTCTTGAATTCAGTGCCCCTATCACTGATGATCTTTTGGGGTAGTCCGTGATGTGCCACCACATGGTCGCAAAGTACTTTTCTCCATCCTTCAGCATTGAGTTTAATGTTACTCGGTATCGTGATTATCTGCTTGAAGTACATGCAGATGACTACAAGAATAGCGTTGTACCCAAAGGACTCCGGTAATACTCCTATCTTATCTACAGAGATTACTTCCCAGGGTCGCGTAGGGATTTCATTGGGGAAGAGAAGTCCGGTAGGTCGCGTGGTGTGAACCTTGGTCTTTTGGCATTTTTTGCATCCAGAAATGTACTTTCGGATGTCTTCTCGAATTCTAGGCCACCAGTAGTTACGCGTGACCATTTCGTGTGTTTTGTATTGACTGGGGTGTCCTGCCAATGGGGTATCATGGTGATGAACAATGATCTGTTCACGGAGCTTCCTATTTACTGGTACGTAGATACGGTTCTTCCACGTCACGAGTCCAGTGCTATCTTCATTCCAATCTTTGTCCTTGTTCTGTAAGGCTACGGTAACTAGCGAATCTTGATTCTTTTTATATTTTCTAATCTCTGCGACCCAGTCCTGGTCGATTCCTGCTAAACTAAATACAGTACTACGGATTAGGGCACGGAAATGTTCTGGTTTTAATAGCACGATATCTGAATTGTCCTCTTTTCCTGCATTGTGTCTCTTCTGTCAAGACAGCCCATCAGCCTTGCCATTCGTCTTTCCAGATTTATGATGTAGCGAGTAGTGATACTCAGCTAATTCGGTTACCCATCGAGCTTGTTGTCGATTGAGCTTCTGCGGCTTCTGGAAGTATTCTAAGTTCTTGTGGTCTGTCCATATTTTAAACGGATGCCGGGCGCCCATGAGATACTGGCACCACTCATCAAGACTAGTCATGATCGCGAGAAGTTCCTTATCGTAAATCTCGTAATTTATTTCGGCTGCTGTCATAGCTTTGGATAGATAAGCGACAGGCTTCCATTTGCCATCTTGCTTCTGGGCTAACTCAGCTCCTATGGCAAAGTCCGATGCATCACATTCTACGCGATAGGAGTCGTTGTCATTGGGTATGGCCAATACTGGTGCGGAGCAGAGTGCGTCTTTCAGGCTCATGAACACTACTTCCTGTTCGATAGTCCATTCGAAAGTAGCATTTCCGGTTAATGAACTAAGTGGCTTTGCTATTTTGCCGTAGTCTCGGATAAATCTTCGGTAGAAGTTAGTGAAGCTGAGGAATGCTTGGATATCTCGTTTGCACTTGGGTCGAGACCAATTGACGACTCCTTCTATCTTGACTGGGTCCATGCAGACAACGCCCTTTCCCACTATCATACCCAGGTATTCGACTTCTGTCTTCTCGAACTCGCACTTTTCTGGTTTTAGGTAAAGTTTGTGTTCCCTCAAAATTTGTAGAACTTGCCGCGTGATCTGACGGTGTTCTTTCAGGTCTTGGGTGAAGATCATGATATCGTCCAAGTAGACTACTACGTGTCCTTGACTAATGAGGTCTCGGAATATATCGTTCATCATGGTTTGGAACGTAGCTGGAGAGTTTGTGAGACCGAAAAACATGACTAGTGGTTCGAACAGTTCTCGATTGGTGAGAAAGGTGGCTTTTTCTTCATCGCCTTCTTTGATGCGAATATTGTTGTACCCCCATCGGACGTCTAATTTTGTAAAGTATTGTGCCTGCTTCAACTTGTCTACTAGTTCCTGTATCAAGGGAAGTGGGTAGCAATTCCTAATCGTCAGCTCGTTCAGCTTTCGATAATCTTGCACAGCTCAAAGACGTCCGTCTTTCTTTTTGACAAAGAAGAAGGGAGAAGCCCACGGGGACTTCGAAGGTCAGATTCTTCCGGTTCTGAGGTTCTCTTCTATGAACTCGTCAAGTTCTTTTTGTTCGTTCATCGAGATTGGGTAGACTTCGCAGCTGATTGGTTGCGCGCCTGGTGTGAGTT